ACCCTATGCTCCCCCTGGTCACTGCAGCATGCCCCTCAGCACTGAGTAACACTACCCGAAGTCCCCCCTGGTTGCTGAAGTAGGCCCCTCAGTTTCCTCTTTCTACTCTCTGCCCTCTGCCCATTCCCCAGAGTAGGGCCTTTTTGTATTTCATGATACTTTGAAGAGAGTCTACTGCTACTGTGGTTTCATACCCATGCTCATGGAGGGACAAGATGAGATTAATCTTAGACCTGTTTTTTTCTTTACCATTCAACACAGGTCCCTTTAGCTCTCTGGCCTCCGTTGACTTAAGATGATGATGATGATAATGGATGATTGCTTTGGCAAAAGGTATAAGTGGAGTAAAGCAAGCTGAACTCTCTAATAAAGAACCTGGTAAACTCTAGGCCCTGAGATCTGGCTGTCTCTGTGATTTATGAACTTGTATATGACAGCATCCTTCCCAGGTGCCTCTTCTACCTCTGTTTCCACTGTCACTTTTCTCAAATACGTTTCTTCCTAGGGACAAGCTTTCTCGAGCTACCCTTCATTCTGAATGAGGCAAAATTGGGATTCCTATTTGAAGTCTAGGCTTATCTCGCCAGTCCTGGCTTGCTCATTGTTAGCTGAGTGTGAGCTTTGATAAAATTCTTATGGTGGGCTTGAAGAAAGCAGCAACGTAGATCAATGGCTTCTCTTGTGTTGCTGCTCTGGTCTGGAAGCTTGTTTCGAGTTCCAACATTTGACACTCTCAGAATGCAATGCCTCTCTCTGAATACCTTCCACTCCAGTCCCCTCTCCTCACCCCTGAGTGAAGGTCAGTGCTTCTGTCTTCATTAAGGGGTAAGAGCAGGTGCTTGTGGGGAAACAGTCTTCCCACTTTCCACTTCCTCATCTTCAGGCTTCCTCGCCTAGTCCCATATTTAGAATAGTGAACTATTTGTTTTGTGTATTCTTGTCATACAGTTTTTACCTCTTCCTTTATTTACTGAAGTCATTACAGAGGGTGACTAGATGTGCACCAAATGTGTATTTTATGTGTTACTGCTCACCTGAGAAGACAAAAAAAATGTTTTATTCCTCTTGCCATGATTTTATTTTCTATGCGGTATAAGCACATTCTTAATTGTGTCATGAATTTAGTGCCCATTAATTTGAAGAAATTGACCATGTTTGTGACTTTCACAAGGCTGTGAAAATGTCACCAGTTTTCTTAGGTACACCTAAATAAAAATGAGTGTAGAGTAATAAGATATAAAACTGTGAATGGAGAGAAAAAAGCAGAGCTTGTACTTGTGCTGTTTGTGTTTGCTGCTGTGGTTTTCTGTGATCTTATTTAAGGTCATCATGCCAAAGCAAAACCGTCATGAAACTTCAGCATGCACATTGCGACATCAAGGTGAGAGCCAGCTCCTCTATGCTTTTAGGTTCCTCTGAGATACCAAAAGATTGATCCGTCCTAAGCCTTAAAACCTCATGTGCTCAAGTATTTTTTCCCCCCTTAAGACTGGGCCTCATGTAGACTCGGCTGTCCTATAACTTCCTGTGTACGTGAGTGTGACTTTGAATTTCTGAGCCTCCTCCCTCTACTTCCCTAGTGCTGGGAATGCAGGCATGAACCGCTATGTCTGGTTTTATGCAGTCTCGGGGATTGAATCTTGGGCTTAGTGAATGCTAGCTGTATTTCTAGTCAGTATTTGTTCTTTATTTCATTTTTATCAAAGTCTTGTAAGGTTTATATCTTTGTGTATGTGCATGTTTGTGTGCATGCACGCGTGCGTGTGTGTATTCATGTGCGCATGCTGATGTATTTGAACATGTATACACAATCAGAGGCTGACATTAGGTATTTCCCTCACACACTCTCTGTCTTATTATTTAAAAATTCTTACTTTTCTTACTATTGTAAAATTATGTGTGTATGCATGGGCATGTAAGTGACAGGTGCTGGTGAAAGTCAGAAGCACTGGGAACCCTGGAGCTGGAGTTGAGTCATCCTACATGGACGATGGGAACCAAATTCAGGCCTCTGGAAGAACAGGAAATGGTCTTAAAGGCTGAGCCATCTCTCCAGCCCATCTCCACCTTAATTTCTGAGAGAGGATCTTTTGTTGAATCTAGAGCTCGTCAATTTGACTAGACTGACCAGCTCACAAACCCCAGGGATCCTCCATTCTCTACCTCCCCAGCACTGGGATTACAGGTATGTGTTTCTTTGCACCCTTTTTAAAAATTTTTACTTTTAATTAATTAAAGGATAGTTGTATTACTTCCTCCTTCCTTGTGGGGTTTGAATAAGAATGGCCCCCATAGGTTCATATATTTGAATGCTTGGTAATTAGGGAGTAGTGCTATTTGACAGAGATTAGGAGATGTGGCCTCATTGGAGGAAGTGTGTCACTAGGGTTGGGCTTTGGGTTTCCCAATGCTCGAGCCACGCCCAGTGTCTCTTTCTCTTCCTGCTTGCCTGACTGCTGATCTGGATGTAGAACTCTCAGCTACCTTCCCAGCACCACATCTGCCTGCATGCTGCCATCCTTCCCGCCATGATGATAATGGATTAAACCTCTGAACTGTAAATCAGTCCCAATGAAATGTTTTCCTCTATAAGAGTTGCCTTGGTCACGGTGTCTCTTCACAGAAATAGAGCACTGACTAAGACACTTGTCCTCCCTTCAATCTCCTTCCCTCACTCCATCTCAAATCACACCCCCTTCTTCTTTAATTATCGCTACATATATATGAATAAGTATATAAGTACCACCTGCTTAGTTCATTTGATGTTGCTTGTATGGATATGTTTTTGGGCTGATTACTCAGTACTGTATACTCAGTTAGGGAGCTCATCTCTGGGGAAGACTAATTCTCCCTCTTGCAGTAGTCATTAAATTCCTGTAGGTCTTTATCTCGGGACAGAGCCTCATGATATATCTCCCATCCATGTTGACATGTCAACTGGTATAGTCATGCTTGGTTCTATAAACCCAGCCAACTCTTCTTAGTGAGCTTATGGATCTTAGAGAAGAACCTACTACTGCTACTTTTCTACATTAGTATAATTTCATTTTTTTCTTGTCACTTCGGTTTTTTAAAATTTTTATTATTAAGAAATTTTCTGTTCATTTTGCATACCAACCAGATATCCCTCTCCTCCCTTTTCCCACCCTCAGCCTTCCCCCCCCAATCCCACCCCCCATTCCCACCTCCTCCAAGTCAAGGTCTCCCATGGGGAGTCAGCAGAGCCTGGTATATTCAGTTGAGGCAGGTCCAAGCCCCTCCCTGCTGCACCAAGGCTGTGCAAGGTGTCACATCTTAGGCACTGGCCTCCAAAGAGCCTGCTCATGCACCAGGGATGAATCCTGATCCCCCTGCCTGCAGGCCTCCCAAACAGTTTAAGCTAAACAGCTGTCTTGAGTATCCAGAGGGCCTAGTCCAGTCCCATGGGGTTTCCACAGCTATTGGTCCACACTTCACAGGTTTCCACTAGTTTGGCTGGCCATCTCTGTACGTTTTCTCATCATGATTTTGGTGTCCCTTGCTTATAGAATCCCTCCTCTCTCTCTCATCCATTGGACTCCTGGAGCTCCGCCTGGTGCCCAGCCTTGGATCTGTATCTGCTTCCATCAGTCACTGGATGAAGACTCTATGATGACAATTAGGGTATTCACTAATCTGGTTACTGGAGTAAACCAGTTCAGGCACCCTCTCGACTATTGCTAGTAGTCTCAGGTGGGGTTCATAGCAGCATTATTCGTAATAACCAGAACCTGGAAACAACGGATAAGGAAAATGTGGTACATATACACGATAGAGTACTACTCAGCTGTAAAAAACAATGATATCATGAAATTTGCAGGCAAATGGATAGAACTAGAAAATATCATCCTGAGTAAGGTAACCCAGACTCAGAAGGACAAACATGGTATGTACTCATTCATAAGTGGATACTAGATGTAAAGCAAAGGATAACCAGACTACAACCCACAGCTCCTGAGAAGCTAGCTAACAAGGAGGACCCTAAGAAGGACACATATGTAGCCCAGTGAAGGAGAAAAAGATGAGATCTACAAGAGCAAACTGGGGGTGAAGGGGGGTAATGGAGGGCAAGGAATGGGGGATGAGAACATAAGGAAATGGGAGGTTTGAGGTGGAACAGGGACAGAATGGGAGAGCAAGGAAAGAGATACCATGATAAATGAAGACATCATGGGAGTAGGGGGAAACAGGGTGCTAAGGAAGTTCCCAGGAATCCACTAGTATAATTTCTAACGGCATTCCAAACACTTAGACATAGGTCTTTGTAGCTCTCACCCTTCAACAAAGAAGCTTCTTTTTGCAGAAGATGGAGACCATTGCGGAAGGCCACAACTGGCCAAGATGCAGAGGACAACTGACCATGGGGTGATTGCGACCCCCACCTGCTGCATCTCCAACACAGCCCCTGTAGCCTAAGGCTCAGAGAACATTGCAGAAGTCAGGGTGGGAAGTGTGTAAACCACAGAAGATCAGGGAGTCTCTTGTGAGGTTGTCTTCTAGATATGAAACGAAAGCCAAGACAATATAATTATCTAAACAAGACCTGAACAGTGACAACATCAACTGACGTGGCTGCCTGGAACTGCCTATATTGATGAGGCTGGCCTTGAACTCACAGGGATCAGTCTGCTTCTGCTTTCTAAGTGCTGGGATTAAAGAGTTCTTCTATGATCACTCTCCTCATATGCCCTAGACTATTGTTCTTAGTCCCATCAGCACTGATTAAGGTCACCTGCTCTTGAACTTCATATATGTGCTTACAGGCACTGTGTGCTCTCTGCGGTTTGGCTTCTTCAGTTCAGCTTGCTTTTCGAAATGATCTGTTATTGAATGAAGCAGGAGAAGCCACTGTTCCACTATATGAGCATTGCTCAATGCATTTGTCTTATGGGTGTTGTTTTGTAGTTTTTGTTAGTGAACAAAGCAGACACACCTATTCTTATTAAAATCTTTTCTTCTTATAGAATCTTAAAATAGAGGGAGTCTATTGCTTTGTTTCCTTTAGGTAAGTATCTACGGGTAGAATTGCTAGCTTGCAGGTGGAGTGAAACTGCCTAGTGCTTTCCTGAAGCAGGGCACCCTGGCTCCATGCTGTCCGCTCATGTTTCCAGTGCTTGGAATGGACATCTTGACTCCTGTTTGGAGAACTTTTTCCACCTTCGAGTGACAGCCCACCCTTCACTTGCTCTAGGAATCCTTTAAGAGAGTAGTTTACACCAGGTTGGCCGTCTCTTTGTTTCACTCACTCCTTCATATTCCTACCACTCTCCTTGCTCTGTGGAAAATTGGAATTGTGTCTTCTATAACATTCACTCTAAGGGAAATGATGTCTTTGGGATTGTTACCAGCATTGTGTGTGATATTTACTCA